CACTTTTGGTGCCTAATTTAAGTAGTCTGCTTATACATTGCTATATAAGTTCTATACTAGTTGCTATACCTGCAAGCTAACTAGAGGTCTTGCCTATTTAAACTCTCTGCATATGCAATCCTTCTTGTATCATGAGAACATCTCAAGGCTACACCTATCCAAGTTCTCGATGCTTATTATTACTCTTAGAACTACTTTATCCTTGATAGGAAACTTACTAGAGCCTTTATGTCTCACATATATAGACCTAGTTTTATGCAACACACTATAGTTATCTAATATTTGCAGTCACAAAGGTTATCTGTTTAACTACTACATTACACTATTTCTACTCTTATAAAGTTTACTAAAACCCCAGTACCTATTTTTCTGACATCTTCTTCATCATCTCCTACTAGCCACAACTTGGAACCATTGGTCTCATTTCAGACTACCAATCCAGATAGCTCAGTATAATATACTTATATATTTTTTTCCTCTGGCGAATCCAGTGGCCTGGTTGATTATATGCTCTTTTATATATATATGATGTCTAGTTTTAATCTTCAGCTCCTATGAAGGTGTTTCATAGGCTTCAACTAGTCTAATGATACTATTGAAAGTTTATGCTACCTCTTTAGTAGAGATTTCCAAGTGGGTTTTCATTACCTTAGTTCCTTAGTCTTCTATGCTCAATGGTCTTATTGTGGGTTTGCACTGAAGTCTTATACAACACTGATAAACATTCCTCCATGTATGTATAATGTTACACTTTGCATAGATGCTTGAGCTTCTAATGTCAGAAGGATCTGACTTGGTATACTTGGATAACAGCCACATAAGGCCAACTGATTGACAGAAGACAGTTACTGTAATGCAGATATAATTTCCAAATTTCATCATAGATGGAATTTGAATCTTAGACCTGCCACTTGAAAGATGACAACCCAACTACTACACTAGGATCACCATCCTCTAGTTGAGAAATTTGTATGTAGTTTCTCAGATTGTTTTACTTAGTAGACATTTTAGTGTAAAATGTTCAATAGTTTGAAAGACCATGGGACAGTTTGGGCAGTCTTCTAAATTGTTGTAAGCATGTGCTTAAGCCAGTAGCCAAAGGGCAAAACACAATGAACAATTTGCCAGAAAATGTTTTTTTTCTTGTTTATTGTTTCAGAAATAATAAGCCAGCTAGGTAGTGAAAACATGCTTTCACTGCTTGAAGTGCTATTTGGCTGTAAATTTAGCTTTATTCATATTATTTATTTTGATAAAAAACATTTTCTATAGCCAAATTGTGTTGGCATCAATTTTGGCTTTGAATCTACACCATGCTATAATATAGAGTTTTTATCTGTCTGGCCAGCTTTTAGTTCTACAAGAAGTTTGCTAAAGAGCTTTATAAACTTGAATATTTCTTTTGTTTAAGAGTTCAATAGATATTAGTCTTTTTTCTGTTCTGGCCTAAAAAGTATGACTTGATAATAACTTAATCCAGATTGATAAAAGTCTGGCATCTAATATGTCTTTTAGCACTAAGCTGCAAGGCCTTCTTGTTTATAGCTTATTTGAAATGTTGAGTATTAAAAAAGCATTTTCAAATTATTTTTAATCCAGTCTATTATTAAATTATTAATTTCTTTTAGTTATTTTCTTGATGGTAGTAGAAGATATATTAAGTACCATATTTTGAATATAATTAATGTTTTGGTTATGAGAATTTTTTCTTTAAAGAATAGATTGCTTCTTGATAAGTTTTGAATTTTGGATTTAATTTTTTTAGTTAAGTTACTCCATAGAGATTTATCTGGGTTTCTGTATATATCTGTGGTATAACCTAGAATAGTAATTGTCTCTTGGTTATTATTTATTAGCTTAAAGTTCAATTGTTCAGTAAGTTTAATTCTGCAAGTGTTTTCTGTAATTGGTATGAAGATTGATTTTGTTTTGTTGATTTTTGCATTGGAGGCTTTTTTGTAGTAGAAAAGAAGTTTTGTAACTTGGACTAGTTAGAAAGAAAGCCAATGCCAATTGAAAGATTATCTGCATAGGCCATGATTTTAAATTCCTCATTATTAACTGATATACTTTTGATATTTTGTTCAATTGCTTGTATTAGTAGATTAATTGCAAGTACATATAATAATAAGAAAAGAGGGTCCCCTTGTCTGACTTTTCACTCCACTTTAAATAGCTCAGAAATAAGTCCAGAGTTTATGATATATGCTTTTTGAGTGCTAAATAGAGCCCTTACTATATTGATAAATTTGTTGCTAAAGTTTATTTTTTCAAGAACAAGCTGAATAAAAGTATGGTTAACCCTATTAAAAGCTTTTTGTTGGTTTAGTAGCAGCATCCAGTGTTGCTTAGACTGGTCATTTTGATTTCTGAGAGTTGTAATTATGTTAAGTGCTGTGTTTGCTATTGATCTGTGAGCAATAAAGGCTTGTTAAGATAGCCCAATAATGTCATTACAGATGGAGTTAATACAATTGGCTAAAATTTTTATAAAGATTTTTGCATTTGAGTTGACAAGTGAGATTGGCTCCAGTTGTTTATGTTGGCTAGGTCATCCAATTTCTTAGAGATTAGAGTAAACATACTTTTGCTCCAGAAGATTGGTATTTTGCCATTATCTATTATGCTATTAAAAAGCTTGGCTAAGGTTGACAGTATAAGCTTCTTAGTATCTTTGTAAAATTTATAAATAAGACTGTCTGAGCTTGATGCTTTGTTGTTTGGTAATTTATTAATTACCAATTCTATTTCTTCAATTATTGATTTAGTCAATAGTTGGTTATGTTCTGGTGAAACTTGTATTAGGTTATTGGTGAGTTGGTTTATGGCTTCTTTGTTAATTTCTTCTGTTCTGTAGATTTCCTAATATGTTTTTTTGATGTAATTTAGTACTTGTTCTCATAAGGTATTATTTGAACTATTTGGTATTTGTATTTTACTACTATAGGCTATAGAGCATTTTGATTTGTATAGAGAAAAGAAGTATTTAGTAGATTTTTCATCATCTTCAATCTATTTAATATTTGATCTGATTCATCATTTTTCTGATAAACTACTAATCTCTTCTTGTAATTTTAAGTTTAGGTTTTCTGCTATTAGTTTAAGCTCTTCTAGATTAGGGTTTTTGGCCACTTTGTTGTTTATATTACATAATTTTTTATGAATTCTTTGGATGTTTCTCTTAGGAAAAGGTGAAAGTCTATAGGCTCTGATTATTGACTATACTATGCATTTGTGTAAATCTCAGTTAAAGGTGTCTTTAGTTTCTCAAAGTTTGTTAAGAATGTCTGTCTTAAATTTTGGAATGTTTAAGTATTTTCTACTAAATTTCCAAGAGGATTATGGCTACAGGAGGTTTTGAAACTAAGTTTATTTTTAACTAGAAGATGGTCTAAGTAGCCAAAATGAGTGCATGTGCTTTGGCAAAAGTGACTATAATTAGAGTCCTGATGTTGTTATTGCTGTATCAGTATATTTTGACATTAGATTCTTGAGAAGTTCTCTTGAGAGATCATTTTGAATAGCAGTTTGACTTATTCTATCCTTATTAGGATTTATATTTGTGTTGAAATCTTTAGCAATAATGTTAATACTAGTGTTTTTTAAACTTGGGGTCCATTTTCTAAGGAAAGAAACTCTCTTCTTAGAGTTAGATGGTGCATATACATTCATAATTGAAAATAATTGTTGTTTTATTTCTGCATTAGACCAAAAGAAGTCGAGTTCTTATTGTTGTAAAAGAAAGTTTCTTGTAGTTTTGTCTTTGAGGTTGGTTTTTTGAATCATAATTATATTTAAGTTGTATGATTTAAGTAAAATAAATGTTTTTTGTGCTTTGGCTTTGTTATTAAGCTCTTTAACATTCAGTGTAATGATTTTAATTATAAGAATAAAGTTTTTATTTAGAGCTACACTAAGTGTATTAATTCTTAGTAGAAGTAACCTAACTTGGAGCTTTCATGCTGAAAGAACTTATTCTGTTTTAATTCTTCTTTTTGCTCTTATTTCTTTTATTTTTAAAGATAACTAGTGTAAATTCTGCTTCATCTGGCTTTAAAGATATATTTATAGCAATTGGATTAGAAGTTAAGTCAGCACTTGCATCATTTTTAGTTGAGTTAAAAGTTTGGTTCTTAGTTAAAGATTCGATATGCATGTTGATTGAGGAAGTTGTAGTTTTGTTAAAGTTTTGAGACAAGTTGTCTAAGATTATAGTTCATTAAATGTCTAGAGTTGTAAAAAATTTGATTCCTTTATAGGTCTTTCTATTTGAGCCCATTCTGCTGAATTATTGATATATGGGTTGTCTGTATAAAATTCCAGTTCTAATGCTGCAAGTATTGTTCTTTGGCCTCTTTAAGAAGACATCTTGTTTCTATTGAGATTTTGAGTTTCTTACAATTCCTTTTAATATAACTTTCTTTGTCACAGTAGTAGCAAATCTTAGAGGCTTTTTTCTATTCGATAGTAACTTTGTATTTGTTGATATGTGTATTTTTTGGAATTCTTTTAGCTACATCTGGATTTTTTGTAGTTTTGAATATAATTAGCCATTGATCTGAGTAGATATTAGTCCTTTCAAAAAGAAGAGGTTTGACTGATGCAATTTGCTTTACATTCTAAAAGGCTTTTATGATTTGGTTACTGATATGTTTAGATTCACCTAGAGGTATGTTTCTCAGTTTTACTGTAAAAAAGGTACAGTTAAGGTTAATCAAAATATATCTAAAAAGTGACTGTTTAAAGAGTGTAATTTTCTCTGCAGCATATAGTTGAACATTCTCATTGTTTTTAAAAACTACTTTCAGAAAAGCCTTTTTTCCTTTGGACATATATATTTTGGCTACTAAAAAGTCTTCTCCAATACTTGAAGCTAAGGCTGTAATAATATCATTAGTTGTAATGTTGTTAAGACTTTGTATATCTAGAATTAATGCATTATTGTTTTTGGAGTAAATTCTTTGTCTAGGATGGAGTTTGTGTAAATTGTTTTTTTTTCTTTAAGCTTTGCAAAAAGGTCTAACCATTGTTTGGATTTGGCATTTTTTGTAGTAATAGCTTCTGTGTTATTGACTTTCTTGTTGTAAGTTGTTGTTACATTGTTTGTAGCATTCTGCTGAGGTTGAACAATGTTTTTATTGACTTGCATGTGTTTTGGTATGTTGCTATTAGGCATGTATCTAAGATTATCATCAGTAGGCATGTGATTTCATTGTTGTTTGTTGTTTATTTGAAGTAGGTTTGTTGACTTTTTGGCACTATTATATGCTTTGTTTTGGTCTAAAAAGCTGATGTTTTCTTTATTTGTTTCAAGAAACTCATTTCTTCTACTTAACTGGTCTAACAAGCTATGCCTTTTATTGTATAGTTAACTGTGAAATCATTGGTTTCCTGAATAAAGTTGTTACTGTTTTTTTTTGCTTTTTGGATTTCTTTCTTACTGCTTTTAGTTTTTGTAAAGTTAAAAGTTTTTTCTGCTGTTGTGTCAAGCCCAAGCTTTTTGTATTGAGCCTTGTTCATATTTAAAGACTTTGTTTTGCATTTTTATAGGATAAAGGCCCTTGTTTGTAAAAGTTCTAAAATGAAAATATATTTATTTTTTGGTAAAATTTTGGTTTTTACTTTATTTTCAGAGATGAACTGAAAAGAGTTTTTAACTAACTTATAATTAAACTAACTCTTAAACAAAAAAACTCACAAACAAACTAACCCAGAAACAAACTAACTTACAAACAAACTAATGAAACTTGTATATTTGATGTTTCATTATACATTATTGAATTTGAATCCAAGAAAATAAATATTGAAATTTTTTTTTTGTACTATTAAGCAGATTATAAGTAAAAAATTCTTTGTTATAGCAAACAGTAGCTTATTTAGTTATCTTGTATCATATTCACATATTTGTTAATATTTATTACCTTTCAGAATAAAAACCTAAAAAAGTTATAATGTTCAAATGTTTATATAAAACCTTTGCTAGTCTTTTATTTCTTTGAAAGTAATTTGATTGCTACTAAGATTCAACAATGTGACATTTTAAAAAGTGTCTTATATTCTTCAAAACCAAATTAATTATAATAAATATTTAAGAAAGTCAGAGTGCACATAAAAGAATGTTACTTGTAATTTTATTACATAGTACTAATATAAAATTTTAAATAAGACATTAGAAGTAACAGTTAGATTGCAAATAAACCAATTTGCTAGTTATGCATTTTAGCATTTTTGCTTTATCATAAAAAGACTAATTAGTATTAAAGTAAAATTAATTTTTCAATTATATGTTATACTATAATTTGATTGGTTGTTATATTTTGGCTATACATAGTCAGAGGCTATATATATATTTATTTTTAATTCTATCTTTATTTTTTAAATAAATTTGTTCTATATAAAAAAATAAATATATAATATTAAATCTGAACATGTTCATAAACTTTGAACTGAATCTAAACTAAACTAAATTTTAAGTTCAGATTCAGTTTAGGTTTATAAATTTTAAGTTTAGTTCAAATTCAGATTCAATAATTTGCAAAATTTAAAGTTTAGTTCAGATTTAATAAACTTAATTCATAAATCTAAACTAAACCAAACCTAGAAATATTATATTTGTAAAGAAAATGAAATTGAAACAGTTATATTAAAAAATTTTAAAAATTTACATAAGTTAACAAATCTTTATTAGGATTATAATAAAAAACTTAACTAATCTTAAACTATTAAAAAGAAAACTACTTCTAAATATTTATTATTAAATTATAAAAAATATATAAATATATATAAAAATCAAGAATAAATAATTCTTAACATTTTACTTTTTTTAATACTAATTATTATTACTAATATAGACCTTATATTTATAAATACTAGTTATCTTCTATATAATCATATTATAATAAACTTTTTTTTATAATTATGATAAGGTCTATAATACTTTACTAATAAACTTATAAAAAAATACTTCTTTATAAGCAAATCATAGTAAAAATCTTTGTACAATTATATAATTAGTATAATACTAACTATGTAATTATAAAAAAGAAAGACAGTATTATAAATTGACTATATACAATATAGTTCAATAAATTTATAAAATTTAATCAAATATTTTCTCTTACTAAACCTATAAACTAAAGATCTTTTAACTATTCTAGCTAAGAATAAGTTAAAGACAAATTAGTTCTAATCTTTACTTCTTTAGTTTAATGTATTAGAGATGTAATAACTTAGTAAAGTAGATAAGTTGTTAACCTTCCAAGTAGTAGGTTGAAAGTTCAAAACCTACCAACAACATAAATTTGAAAAAATTATTTATATAATATTGGTATTACAGAAAATAAGCAGTATTATAACAATAGCAATTTGTTAATTAGTTAAAATAACTAGCATAATTGGCAGGTTATGAGCCATTTGTAAAACTGTAAAACTAAGAAGCTGAAGCCTACTTAGAAAGATCTAAGTAAAAGGTAATACAGATTTTTAATAGTACCACTATAAAAACTAAATTTAGAAAATGAATATTGATATAAAAGGAATCAGATAGGCAAAAATCTCAGTAAAGAGTACTACCAACCAGACTGCCAAAAGTCTTGAATCAAAGAAAAAGAATCTTAGAAGGCAGACTTTTAGAATATCAAAGACAGGTTACAGTCCTTCTAAGCTATTTGAATTAGGAATCTTAGAACTAAAGTAGAGTATAGCTAAGTACTAAAGATATAATATAAAGTTAGTACTGAGGCCTAGATAAACTTTATAAAAGCAAGCCCTATTAACAAAGATTAAATATAGAAAATTAGTTAGCAGAAAGACTCTCTAAAGCCCTACAGTCAGATAACATACTCTGAAATATGTAATAGCTTAATGGACATACAAACAGAGAGATCAGAGTTAGATTAGATAATACTTCAGTATACAGAAACTTATATGCTATCTGCTAGTATAATATAAGGGTTACTTTGTATAAGTTATATAATTATAATTGAATTCATAATAAAGACAATAAAAACAATAGCTGCTAATAACTAATGACTTTAGCAAAAAAAAAAGTTTAATTAGAGTTAAAAATAGCTGGCTCAGCTTAGTTTAGCTTAAAAAAGCTACTAAAGTTAGCTCAAGTTAGCTCAAGTTCATTTAATTTGTTTTATATAATTAATATTTTAATTCTAATTTAAAAGTTTCAAACTATTTTGAGTTTAATTTATTACTGTTATTATTTATAAATTGTATACAAATTTTTGACATAATATATTCTAAAATTTTTTTATTAAGAGGATAGCAATTCTAGTGCAGTAGTTGGATTGTCATTCTCTAAGTGGCAGGTCTAAGGTTCAAATCTCACCTATAACAAAATTTGAAAACTATATTTGTATTACAATAACTGTCTTCTGTTGATCAGTTGGCCTCATGCAGCTGTAACTCAGATATACCAAGTTAGATTCTATCAACATTGGGAGCTTGGAACATCTATGTGAAGTATAACATTATATGTACATAGAAGAATGTATAACCAGCATTGCATAAAACTTCAATACAAACCTATGATAAGACTACTGGATGTAGAAGACTAAGGAATCGAGGTAATAAAAACCTATTTGAAAATTCCTAAGTAAAGAGGTAGCATAAACTTTTGACAGTATCATTGAACCAGTTGAAGTCTACAAAACATCTTTATAGAAACTGAAGATTAAACTAGACATCAAATATGTATAGAGGAACATATAACTAATCAGGTTGCCAGACTTGCTAAAGGAAAAAAATACAGAAGTATACCATACTAGGCCATCTAAATTGGTAGTCTAAAAAAGACTACTGCTTCTGAGTTGTAACTAATAGGGAATAATAAAGAAAATACTAGAAAGATACATACTGGGGTTCTAGTGAACTTTACAAAAGTAGAAATAGTATAATGTAGTAGTTAAACAAATAAGCTCTGTAACTGCAAATGTTAGATAACTATAGTGTATTGTATAAAACTAAGTTAGTATGTATGAGACATAAAGGCTTTAGTAAGTTTTCTGTCAAGAATAAAGTAGTTTTAAAAGTACTAACCAGCATCAGGAACTTGAATGAGTATAGCCTTGAAGATGTTCTCATGATACAAGAAGGATTGCATATGCAAAGAGTTTAAATAGATAAGACCTCTAGTTGGCTTGCAAGTATGGCATCTAGTATAGAACTTATATAGTAATATATAAGTGAACTACTTAAATTAGACATCAAAAGTATATGTATGACTAGTTGTAATCTTCAGTATAAGGTAGCCCCTAGTGGCATGCCATGTTAAATAAAAATGTCACATCTTAAAGATAAGACTTCAATATTAAAAAATATATATAAAACTCTTTTCAGTTTATCTTTGGAACTTATAGAAACACAAAATTACTCTTTTAAATAAAACAGTCTACTTTCAAAACTCAAGTAAAGGAAGGTTTATAACTTTCAAAAAGCACAAACTCTTGTCAACAAACATGAGTAGAATCCCATACAAGAAAGCAAGAACAGATACAGACAAGAAAAAAGTCTTTAAACTTTCCAAGACAGAGAAAAATAAAGAAAATATTACAGTTTTAAAAACAAACAATATTGCAAACACCAAGTATGAGCCAAGCATATCAGCAAATACAGCAACAAAAGAAAATCATCTAAACTAGGCCAGTCAAACAGAAGAGAAGCTAAAAGCCAAAAGTGAAAAAAAACACAAAGCTACTAGCAACAAACAAAAGGACAAAGGTAAAAACACAGTAAGCAAAAAACATATGTCTGAAGTAAACAAACAAGAACACATGTTGAAATTAGATAAACAAAACTATATGACTAGCAAAGCAACTATAGAACACAAGAAGGCAAATATCCAACAACCAATTGAAACTTCAAAAAAACATGAAAACAAGAAGACACCAAACAATAGTACAAGACCAAAACAATGGTCTAAGCTATTTACAAGACTTAAGGAAGGCAAAGCCCTTTTTACTAACTTCTCTTCTAGCCAGAAAATACATTCAAAAAATAAGAATGCTTTGATACTCAACATCCAAAACTTAGATAATATTCCTACTAATAACATAATTACAGCCTTAGCTGCTAGTCTAGAAGAGGACTTGGTAGCTGCAAAATTACATATGTCAAAAGGAAAACAGGCATTTCTTGAAGTAGTCTTTATGAACAGAAAAAAAGTTTAGCTCTATGCAGCTAATAGAATCTCTCTTTTTAAGCAAACCCTTTTTGGATACATTCTAATCAACTTTAATCACTCCTTTCTTACTGTTAAACTCTGTAACATGCCTATGAGAAATACTAAAATAATTAGTCAGCAGGTTTTGGATGCATTTCAGGATATCAGACAAATTGCATCAATCAAACCTCTGCTTTTTGAAGGTACTACAGTTTGTTCTGACCAATGATTGGTTACTTTTGAAACTACAGAAAACCCTGATCTGCCTTCCAGAATACCTAGAAGCATCCACATTGGTAATCATAAGATAACAACTGAATAAAAAGAGGCACCAAAAATTTGCTTCTACTGTAAAAAGAAAGGCTACTTCAAAAGAGACTGTAAGAATCTTAAAACCTTGATCGAGCTTAAACAATGATTAAAGGAAGCTAAGGAGCTTAGAGAAAGAAATAGAACACAAAACTCATCAACTTCAGAACTAAGCTTTAGTCATAACAACCTATATATCAATAACAATCTTTAAGATAAAGAACAGGCAGAAGACTCATTGGATACAAAGTCTTTAATTTTAGAATGCATTTCAGATAATAAAGAAATGAT